TCTTATTAATTTGATCAACATGATAAAACTCTATTTCTATTTAAGATATTAATGGATTGATCATTAATTCAATACAAGGTTTTTGTTCTTTATAATAAATATTTAATTATTCATATTTTTATTATATAAATGATTTAGGTATAATAGGTTTAGTTGTTAATATCTTAGCTAATTATTTCATAGAATTTGATGCTTATTAATGAGATTCATAAATATTTTTATTATATTTAATGAAATTTAAATCCATCTCATGTAATTTTTGATTAATATTCTAAAGATCACCTTTAGCATGCTCAATATTACTAAGTTCATTCATTTGATCTTCTAAATGATTATATTATTGACATATCTTTTTATTCTCTTCTCTTAATTATATATTCTTCTTTTATTCAATAGCAAGCTTTAATTAATAAGCTCTTAATTGCATCTATTACTTTTCTTCTAATTATTTATATTCACTTTTTATTTATTCTAAACTTTCTTAATACCCTCCTATTTACACTTCAACTAATGATTGAAAACGATCTTATTACCATTAAGTATTCAAATCTAAAATTATTACTAAACATTTCCATATTTGTTCAATAAATATTGCTATAGCTTTGTCATCTATTATTTTTATTATGCAAGATACAAGTTCACTAAATATTTCAATGAATTTAATTAAAATATCAAATCTAAAATGCTATTTAGGATGTTATTAATTAAGATTACTATTATCCAGTTATTATTTTTTATCGAAAAGATCCTGAATTATATTTTAATCTAAATTTATTAGAGTCTCATACATACGAAACAATAATTTAGGATCTTTATCCTAAAATTAATATTATTTAGGAAGATCTTAAACGTAGATAAAATTATACTATAAATATTTCTTTACCTCTCCTGATACATGTTTTAAAGTGGAAACTATTGATTCATGGTTCTTAATTAAGTAACTTTCTTCTAAATACTTTTCCATTACCTTTAATGGAACATTAGATTTCTCTCCAACACCTGGTATAACTTATTCTAAGAAAAAACCTAAAGGACTTTAATTCAAAATCATATTGTTTGATTTTGATCTAGATTGTGCGCTGGTTATTCTGCTTATCGAAGGTTTTATAGAGGATGAAATAATCCTTCTATGAGCAGATACACTATGCATATTATGTTTATGCATTATTATTTGTTAATATTATATAAATCATATTTAATATTATATATTATTTACATTCAATATATCACTTTAATCAAATATAATTCAAATATGAATTAAATTTGTATATAAATCATAATTAATAGAATCTTGATTATAATTATTAGAATTTTTATATGTTTTACTAAACCAACTTAAAAATGCCAGAAAAATTTGTTAATAACTATAATTTGTTGTAGAAAATATTTAATATAGTAAAATATTAAACTATATTCCCGAATTGCTCAATAAATTATAGAAATCGATTCTCTTTTTTAAATAATTATATTCTTATGAACGATATTATAAAAGTCTATGATATATAAATGAATTGCTAATAATTATTTTAAATTGGAATATTTTTGAGATATTAATATTGAAAGATCTCATTAAACCTTAAGAATGAAGTTCATATTCTAATTAAAAAATATGTTAAATGGATAATAGATTTGTTTATATAATTATGAATTTTTATGGATGATTTTTCATATAGATATTCATAATATGTAATTTATTTAATTGATTTTTCATTCATACTTTTTCATTATCATCTTGATTTTATTTAGAATCATCAATTTTGTCATTATTTCATTATCATTGTTATTTATCCTTCTTAATCTCTATTATAATTATTCAAAAATCTCTTTATCTTTTTTATACTATTTAAAATAAATTAATTTTTTACTTATTCTTCAGCATAATATTTAGCAATCTCAATATCTGTATCTATTGAACTACTTTGATAACTTTGGATTTTTGAGTCAAAGTTTGTAATTTGATTTTAATTTTATATACATTTTTAACAAAATTGTCTTTATGTTGTAAAACTACCTTACTTCGGAGGTTTTGGAGTTTCTACACCTTCCCTTTCTACTGATACACTATATTATGCCATATTAAGATTAATTTTCTCTTCAATTTATATCATATATTGACGACCATCCTCCCTTAATCTATCAATACATCTATAACAAACGAATTTAATTTCTATTGGTTTAACATTCGTTATTTCATTAATTATATTTCCATTGGTATCACGAACAATGGGATTTTGTTTATAGTAGTAATAAATAAAATTCATGTTAGATGGAATCAATGGACTTTTACATTCACTAAATGAACACTTCAAATCTTCTATTACAACTTCATTCATAAACTGTGTAGTTTAGCTCATTTATTAATAATAAATTATAATATATTAAATCATTTTTTGGATATTTGATTAATATTTTTATATTTACCTAAAATTTTTTCCAATTTCTTTTTCAGATAGAATTTTTCTTAATTATCTTTACTTTTTTCAAAACTATTTTTGTATTAATCATATAATCTTTTATCTTCCTCAATTTATTCTAAAGCAAGTTTTTTTCCAAGTATTAAAGCCCTTTTTTATGTAGAAGAAGCATAAATGATAAAACTGTTATTATATTATTCAAATTATTATTCTAATTTATTACAATTTTCGCATAAATTATTTTAATTTGATAAATAACCACAAGCAGCCTAACTTTCATTTCTTTTAAATGAAAAACTTAATTTATCAGGATGAGCCTTAATTTTTTCACCTAATTAATTTATCTTAAATTTTTTTTCTTCTAAATAATTAGTTAAAATTTATAATTAGGGCTTGTATAAATTATCACCTTAAGTCGATTTTATTTCGCAAGATTTGCACATAAAGACAATATATTTATTAACATTGCTATTATCCATTTTTGATTTAGAATTCAAATAAAAGTAATTAAAACTTTGGTTTTGTTAGAATATATTTCTAAGTTGTTCTTCACATATACAACAATATCCAGGCTCTAATTAAGTATTCAATTCATCTGAATTCAAAGGAGTTGATTAATTAGAGATATTTTAAATCATCAATTTTTTATAAAAATAAATAATTAATTATTATTACATCAAAAATTCATTAAATGCAATGATCAGAAATATACTTTTGGCTATTTATTTACATTATAATATTGTTATTATCATGTAATTCTAATGCAAGTTTAGAAGATTGTTAAGATGGATTAGGTTCCTTAGCTTATAGAGAATTTTAATTTGATACACTATCTTAATTAATAGATTCTTGATTTGGAATAATATCTATTTCTTGTTTGATCCCCATATCTTTTTCATTTAATTAATTAACTTGAATATTTACTTATTCAAAATTATTAGGTAGATCAGAAGTATGGCTATTATGAGGACAATGATTATGATTTCTATTATTAATTTGATGGTCTTCATCATCATCATCATCAGAACTCTCATTTAATTATGGTTCTGAATCTTCAATTATCACCTAATTATAAATCTATTTGTCTTTTAAATCATCCAAATCTTTTGGCTTTGACAATTAAGAAATCTTTTAATTTTTATCTTAATCATTTCCAGGAGTAGTAGGTTTAGATGTAAATAAACTTGGAATTTATGTGAATTATTGTTATGTTTATTAATTAGTTTTCTTGTCTTCTTCTTATTTATTCGAGAAATAGTTTGGATTAGATTTCTTTTAATCTCCAGTCTTTAAGGATAGTTGTAATTTCATATCAAAACGCTTAGATGTTGATAACAATTATCCATAACCAGTAGTACTTTCATTTTAAATTTACTTTTGTTGTACATTTTATGTTTTCATCATTTTATTTTTAGATATTTTTTTAGATTTGATATATTCATAAGTAGAAATATTATTCCATCTAGAAATAATGTTGTTTTGTTTACTTGAAATATAAATGAATTGATAGCAAATATGCCAATACAAAAAATACAGGAGGGTCTACTGAAATACAAATATAAACTAAAATCTAAAAATTGGTTTGAAGATAAAGTAATTTACAATCTTAACCTAATCTAAATATTTTAAATGCAACTAAAGATAATACTAAAACAAAGAAATAAGAATAATTCTAATCTCCAACACAATTATTCAACCAAATACAATGATGATCAAATTTCGATACACATCTAATATGTAATATTTAATACTTATTACAACTCCAACAATGTTTAGTTTTCTCTTAAACATGTGCTTAACATACTAAACAATAAGATTTTATATCTGTCTTAAATTCTTTGCTTTTGAATATCAATTATATAATATTACCCAAGTAGTTTTGATAATTTCTCTTCCTTTACAATTGAATCTGTAGCATCTATTAATGTGGTTCTAAGACATGAATAAATAACGCAAGTAACTATTACTGTAAGAAGTATCAATTGGAGTTCCTAGATGAAAAATACTTTAATACCCTCATTCCTGTTTCTTCAAATTGAAAGGCAAAAAAGTATGCTATAACTATATCAAATAGAGTATATATCCAACTAAGAACTTAATAAGGGTTAATTCCATTAACCAATCCATTTCTACGGACTGCCCTTAAACGACCTTATTTTACATCAACGTCCATTATTAATATTTAAAAATATGCATATGAATCAAAACTCTTGGAGCAGGTAAATCTTTTTATGGTAATTTTCCTATAGTTTAAGTCTTTTCATATTCTTCTTATTCATTTCTATTTTAATCTTACAATTTAAAATTACATCTTTAATCCAAAGTATTATTTGGATATCTTTTAAGTATGATTTGTAACAAATTAGGTTTTTAATTTAGGATACCAAAAAGCAACTTTCGTATATAAATACATTAATTCTTATTTGTTTAAGCAAGATAACTCGTACATTCCTAAATCCTATATAAAAATAGGTATGTGTTTCAAATACATCTTCTCTAATAACACCGAATGAACCCATTCTAGTTACAAATATCATTTCCTTATTTTTATTGTCTTGAACTTTAGTAATATAATTCTTTTCAATATCATTCGTAGACATATATATGGAATTACCATAATTATGCAGAAGCAGCAGTTGCAGCTAATACATTAATTCTCATATAATCCATATTATATATATATTATAAATGATATGGATAAAATGAGGCATCAATTTAATGATCAAACATAAGATTTGTTTTATAAACTATGTTATATGGTATAATAATATTTATGTTTATTATTTAAGTATAATACCCAAACATATCCAAGCAAAACTGAATGTTCCAGTCCATCATACAAATTTTAACCATTCTTATAATCTTGTATTTTCATATATCACTTCTCCTTATTAGAAATTTAACTTTGGATTTGGATCTGTTGATGGATGTTAAACAAATGGTTAATCATTATAACTTGAATTATACATATCGCTTTCTAATCTAAATACTCTTTAACAGGGATTAGCCAAGAAATCTGGATGTCACAATCTTCCTGCAAGATACGGGAATCTTAAATGATTTGAAGTATAAACATCATATTTAGATCCTTTAAATAGTTTATGCAATCCATTTTTTTTCATTTCTGGATACATTTTCATATTCCAATTCTTATTTCAATAGGGAAGAAATCTCTAAGACCACCATATATTTTTAGTGACTCTAGATTTGCCTTTCATATATGGTCTATCTAAGTTTTTAATTGCTTTGTCAGCTTATTTTTACATATTCACGTCTCTTTTTACATATTATGAGTATCCACTACCAATCTTTATTTATAATCTTGTTTCTGAGGTGGAATATAATCAGGATGAGCTGGATCATAATGAGTAAACTTATATTCTAATTTATTGACTAATACCTCCAAATGTTATTACATCACATTTTTGCGTTCTATTTAATCAATATCTATAAAAACCTTTTACTTCTTTAAATTGCAATTGTTATTACTTAACTAGTTCTCTATTTTGGTATATAATGCATAAACATGATTATATATATAAATAAATAATAAAGGTATAAAATTATAAATACTCAAAATCTAATCTCTAAGAAAAACTCAAAATTGTAATAATATTAATAATTAATAAGAATTGCAAAAGAGTAATTGGGTTGGCAAGTACATCAATACTTCTAACTTATATATTACCAATTTTCAAATAAAAACTGTTCATTCTATATAACAAAATGAATGCCATACTTAATAGTAAAATTACAAGAATTTTTTATTTGATTATAAAAATATGTAATTTGTTTTATTGCAATTCTTTATTTATCCTTATGAGTTGCAACTCTTTATTAATTTTTTTAAATTAAATTTATAAATAATTATAAAATGGTTTATGTATTTCTATTTTGGGAAAAATATAATATCCTTTACGGTTGTTATTTTTAAGCAAATGATGTCATGCATATTTAAATTTATTATTTTGAATTATATCTGAAATATTTATACAGCTTTAATATTCTTTATTAAGATCTTCTTACATAATTAATAATCATTGTATTTCCTATAAATGAATAAATATTTTGTTAATTCTTATACACTCAACTTCACATTTTTCACATTTTATTCTATCATCATCCTATTTTTCTCGACATTTTGGACAGATTTTCACTCCTTAACCCTTTTTTTCAAAGAAAATGTAATTTGTTTAGCAGTTCAAACATTTCTCATTTTCAAAAGATTCTCTTGGTGTTTTACAAGCTAAACATTATTTTAAATATTCTATATATATTTTAATTAAAATATATTACCTTGATTCAAAATTGAATCAAATAGTTTGAAATCAATTAGTAATTATAATTCATCCATTGATCCAATATATATTTTATTAATAAAAATGAAAGGCAATGGATCTTGATTCAATCTTTGTTGTTTTACCCATTACTGACACAAAAGATTATCACATAAATTAAAGGCAAAATATTTTAATTTCTTGTTTTTCACAAAAGTAAATAATCTAAATTATTACCTAAATTTCCTACTTTTAAGTAGAAGTTGTTGCCTTCATATTGACACTTATGCTTGAATAAAAAAAATGAAATTTCTCTCTAAGAGAAGGTATAACTTGTCTAGCTGCTCTTATATTTCTTTTTAATCTCCAAAATCTCTGAATCATCATAGCATTTATTTCTTTTTCCTAATTAATTTTTGAAATATACAATTTCTATATCCTGATCCATTTATAGATTTTTTTTAATATAATAAAAATTGTATTTTTTTCAATTAATTTCTTTTTGTAATTGTTTAAACATGTTATTAACATCAAAAGAGAAAGTAATTTTAAATGAATTTAGTATGATTGGATTAATTCAATAATTGTATTTCGTGTAATCTTTTATTTTTTTCATGGATAGAATAATTTTAATTATATACTNTTATAAATACTCAAAATCTAATCTCTAAGAAAAACTCAAAATTGTAATAATATTAATAATTAATAAGAATTGCAAAAGAGTAATTGGGTTGGCAAGTACATCAATACTTCTAACTTATATATTACCAATTTTCAAATAAAAACTGTTCATTCTATATAACAAAATGAATGCCATACTTAATAGTAAAATTACAAGAATTTTTTATTTGATTATAAAAATATGTAATTTGTTTTATTGCAATTCTTTATTTATCCTTATGAGTTGCAACTCTTTATTAATTTTTTTAAATTAAATTTATAAATAATTATAAAATGGTTTATGTATTTCTATTTTGGGAAAAATATAATATCCTTTACGGTTGTTATTTTTAAGCAAATGATGTCATGCATATTTAAATTTATTATTTTGAATTATATCTGAAATATTTATACAGCTTTAATATTCTTTATTAAGATCTTCTTACATAATTAATAATCATTGTATTTCCTATAAATGAATAAATATTTTGTTAATTCTTATACACTCAACTTCACATTTTTCACATTTTATTCTATCATCATCCTATTTTTCTCGACATTTTGGACAGATTTTCACTCCTTAACCCTTTTTTTCAAAGAAAATGTAATTTGTTTAGCAGTTCAAACATTTCTCATTTTCAAAAGATTCTCTTGGTGTTTTACAAGCTAAACATTATTTTAAATATTCTATATATATTTTAATTAAAATATATTACCTTGATTCAAAATTGAATCAAATAGTTTGAAATCAATTAGTAATTATAATTCATCCATTGATCCAATATATATTTTATTAATAAAAATGAAAGGCAATGGATCTTGATTCAATCTTTGTTGTTTTACCCATTACTGACACAAAAGATTATCACATAAATTAAAGGCAAAATATTTTAATTTCTTGTTTTTCACAAAAGTAAATAATCTAAATTATTACCTAAATTTCCTACTTTTAAGTAGAAGTTGTTGCCTTCATATTGACACTTATGCTTGAATAAAAAAAATGAAATTTCTCTCTAAGAGAAGGTATAACTTGTCTAGCTGCTCTTATATTTCTTTTTAATCTCCAAAATCTCTGAATCATCATAGCATTTATTTCTTTTTCCTAATTAATTTTTGAAATATACAATTTCTATATCCTGATCCATTTATAGATTTTTTTTAATATAATAAAAATTGTATTTTTTTCAATTAATTTCTTTTTGTAATTGTTTAAACATGTTATTAACATCAAAAGAGAAAGTAATTTTAAATGAATTTAGTATGATTGGATTAATTCAATAATTGTATTTCGTGTAATCTTTTATTTTTTTCATGGATAGAATAATTTTAATTATATACTAAAAGAAAATAAGATATAAATTCTTTAGATTGGAGGAGGAATCCTTTCATAATTTTTTCATTATAATTTAAGATTATTTTTATGTTTCATAAGAGCAAATGATGCTTAACAATAATCATTTCAATTATCAGCAAATTATCCATACTCCTATTTTTAATCTCTTCTGGTACCATCCAATTAGGAGTTCCTATGAAATTTTTATATTATTCTTTTGCGAATGATACCTCTCACTAAGGATATAATCAGACAATGAATAAAATCTTTCTGGATCTTATTAAAATTAGCTCATTTAATGTCTCAATAAATAATTCCATGCTTGTTTGAATACTTAATTCTAAAACCATATCCTAATCATGATTGAATGACTGCAATCTTTTATTCTGTAAATTAATAATTACCAAACTCTTTTAATTCTACTTGATCATATTATTAATCATAATTTTGTGTAATCAAATAAAAAGGTATTATTAGTTAGAATCTTTTTGATTTTACAAAATAAGAAGATGTATATTGAATATAAATTTATATAATATCAAATTGAGTTCTCTCATTTTTTGTGAGAAACTTTGTTAAATTAAGTTTAATCAATATCAATTTTGTGTTTTTTTAAAGTACTATCTATCCATTCAATCAACCTTCCAATAGATTCATCTTAATCCTTTGGATCAATATCCATCCATAATTCAATTCTTATTCTATTACCTTGTTTAGCATTAATTTTATCTAATACTCTCAATCCATTAATCTAAATTAGTAGGTCTAATTTACATGTCTTAATTCTTCTGTAGCTTATCCAATAATTTGTAATAGAAAATCCAAATAAATTGAATCATAAACTGCATAATATTGTGTTGAAATATCAAATTGAATTTCTCCACCATTTTTATTGTTTTCATCCTCCCACCATGGCTTGATATCATTCTTAAAAAATTATATTGCTTCTATTTAAGCATCTGCATTCTCATCATTGAATTATTTAAATCTATTATATTGAAGTGAATTACATTTTGCATTTTTATGGTTCACTTAAAATATCTGATAATTTTGAATATATTGTCTTTTTCATTAGAAATCCTAATTCTTCAACAGTTGAAAAAGAACAGATATCCACAATAGTTCTCTTATAATCTATGTTATAACTAGCATTATATTTCTCTGATATTGTCCACTTACTACTCAATTTATGAAATTTATCACTCATTAATATTATTAATATATATCCATTTATCATTATTACAATTAATAACAGTTTTCTTGGTCCCAGCTAAATGTACGCCTTCAGTCATAATGGCATAAACTGAATTCTCATAAACTTTAACTTAATCCACATACCCAATAGTAGGTACTTGAAATCCTCTAAATATTATTAATAATTTAAAATACCTTCGTACAATTCCAGATCTAATGGTAGTTGTGGTTAAATCCAAAGTAATTACATATGATTTATCAGTAAATTCTTCACCTAATTATCCACCAAATACCATCAATTCTGTCTAATTTATTTATGCTAATCCACTATGTAATGGTATTTCATTCCACAAATTTCCTTAACTATCATATATCTACAAATCAAACCAAGTGTTTTATCTAATTGAATAAACCTCTATTGTTTAAATATTAACGTATTGCTTATCAATTCCACCTATTTTAATTAAATATTCATTATTAATATTTCCTAATGAACATCCTGTGCAAGCATGCATACAAGATCTTAAAGGAGTCCATCTTTACCCATCAAATCTTTCCAATGTATTTATACTACTATCTTCACAATCTGTTGATGATCCACAACAAACATAAATGCATGTATCAACTAAACAAGCACCAAATCCTTATCTTCTATGTATCATATTTGAATGCAAATTTAAAGTCTTTTAAATCAAATTCACTTTGTACACTGATTAAATACTTAAGTTTCTATCTATATCTCTTTCAATTCCTCCAATTATTAATATGTCTTTTCCATACATTATACATTAATGTCCAACTGCAATTCGTTTATCTAGAATTAAATTAATCTCTTAAAAATCAGATATATTTAAATTTTTCATTGGTTGTATGAATTTTGGCATTCTATATATCAATATCTTTCTTTAATCTGCATAGCAACTTACTAAAATTTCTTCACTACTTGAAATAAAGCTACTTTATTATTAACTTACTATCTTCAATTATTATACTTAATCATCCTGCATTACTTTTATTAATTCAGATGTGTTGTGTACAAATTGTGGTTTAAAAGATGATTGTGAAGAAAGGTATTCTCTTGCAATATTTTAATTTTAACTGCTCTGATAAGATTTAGTATAAACATTATTCTTTAATAATTACTTACTCTCCTTATTACCATTAATATCAGATACATTTTCCTTTTTGATTTGAGATTATTATTATTATCCTTAAACTGGAGTTGGCTTTTCTCCTGTTAATTATTATACTATTTCTTACTCTCTTAATGATACCATTCTTTATTTCTAGTTTCTGTTACAAATCTATATATATTAATCCAAATCCTACAATAAAAGATTATGAACATTATTCGTTATCATTAAATCAGGAAATTGTTATTAATACTCTTAACATCTCTTATCTAAATTTTGATATATTTATGGACCTATGTCATTAAAAAAGGTTTCCAAAATTGCTTAAATATACTCACTACTTTCAAATTTGTTAAGCAAATTATCCATCCTTTATAATTACTATATTTTATTCATTAAATCAATACCATCTTAACCAGATCAATACTTTCTTTACTGTTATCATGTTTACTGCCTCTCACTTCTCTAAATCTATTCTATAACTCTTGTTTATATTCTTCGAATCTCGTATTTATAGATTTTATGATTTCTTATTTTGTTTATTCCAGCTTCATAAACAAATTATTCATAATCACCATTTCATCTGTGCTACTTAACAAAAACATTTATTCATTTAACTTCTACACTATGTCGAATACCATTGCTTTCTATTCTTATCTAACGTTTTATATATTTTCTATCTATGGAATTTATCCATTTGCAGCGTGCTCCTTTATGTGTCTTGGTATGCATTCAGGACATAGAGGTTCAGTGCATTATTTCAATATGCACATATTTGTTATGAAGTAATCTTTATGAGTTGGACATTTTATAGGTGGAACTGTTGACATGTTAACTTATTCAAAATTCAAAATTATAAATAAATTAATATGACAAGATAAAATTTTCATAACACATATTTTGATATTGATATTTTAGATAAAAAATACACACACTACTTTAAACTTCTGTGAACTCTAATATCTAGTCTAATTTATGTTTAATACTTCTTGGAATTTATTCCTTCAAATTTACTTGAAAATTATAACAGATTAATCATAATATTTTAAAAATAAGTAACTAATGGACTCTTTCAAAAGTACATATATATAAATACATTTTTGATATAGTTTAAAAAATTGATAAATATATTCATTTTAACTTAAATATTTATATTTAGTTTTTAGTGGACTTTAAATTTTTGAATTAAGTTAATTGAATAAATGAATAAACATTAAGCAAATTATTTCTTTTCAGTAACTACATTGATGAAAAACTAATCTTAAAATTTAATTTTATGTAGTAAAACTAAATTAGAATTTAATAAATCTTTATCTATAGTATAATTTTATTATCAATAAATGTATAATATGAATATATATGTTTTTTTTTAAATTCTAAAATTAGAGTATTAAATATTGTAAAAATTTCTATGGCATAATGGTTTATGTATATTTAAATAAAATAATTTTTGTTGAACAAATAAATAAGCATTATGGTTTAAGTATTTCTAATTAAATATTAAAATTTAATATTGAAAGTTTTTCTATATAAATAAAGTATTAAATATTTAATAAATAAAATATGAAATTTAATCTGTATTTATCTAAATATAATTGAAATAAAGATAGATAAATTTTAAAGTAAAATATTTTAAGTATTTTTATATAAATAATGTTAATTGACAAAAAATTTAGATTTAAATAGTTTAAATATTTAATTGTTTTTTACTTCATGATATACACAACCAATAG